TTCTCAGATTTTCACCAACGTTATTCAAAAAGGAGTAAATCTTGAGTTTGGGAACTAAAATTTAACTTTTAATTGAACACCTCAGTGGTGACTAAGAGCAGCAGAACTTTAAAGGTTGGGCCCTGACGTGGGATTTAAGGAACAGTCCAGCATCTGAACTTTAAAGATGAAACGCCCCGGAGAAACTTTAAACCTCAGAAAACCCAACAAAGCTGTTAGTCTGGACAGAAATGAGAAAGGCCTCCTTACTCTGGACAGATCTCCGACCTCCAGGTAGAAGCAGATGATGAAGACGTTCCAGGTCATCCAGACGACGAGCCAGGCGGCGTACTGCAGGGAGGAAGCACAAAGAGAGAGTGAGAGCGGCTCTGACGGGCCTTTGTAGGAGAATTAAAACCCGTGTTGAGCATCGGAGACGGAGCTTCGCTTTGATGTCGTCGGGATGCGGAAAAACGAAAACAAGCAGCCGCTCGGCCGGATCGAAGCCGACGGGAAGCAGAGGATGAACGGAGGAGGGATCAAACCGTCACTCAGGTCTCATTACGCAGAGCTCAAACGCGAGGCGTGCACGTGGAGGTGTGCATGTGGAGGCGTGCACGTGGAGGTGTGTACGGGGAAGCGTGCACGGCTTGCTACACCATGCAGAAAGAGGAAAACAATTCAGGTTTCTCTTTTTCCATCTAAACATTGGGGCTGAGATGAATCCTGATCAACTGGTTGATTTAAGCTGATATCGATGCTCATTGATCATTTTTAACCATAAAAATTAAGTTTTATTTTGAATTTAGCTGCTTTAGGCGGTTTATCAGGGTGTTCAGGAGATTCTTAACTCAGCAATAAATACATTTAAACAGACATAAACGAGAAAAAGGACAAAGCGGTGACCTCACACTGAGCATTTGCTGCTAAACAAACAACAAAACAACAACTTTTTTGTTGCTTTTGTCTTTTTTCAGCCTTTTTATCCGTATTTGGTCAGTTTTTAAATCTTATTCTGGTCAGTTTTGGTCTCGTTTTGGCCCTAAAATCATTATTTTGTGTCTTTTTCAGTCTTCTTTGAGGTTATTTTTTTGTATATTTGGCGCTTTTTTTTTTGGCTCTTTTCAATAATTTATTGTATTTATTGTGGGTTTTTCTTCTTACTTTTGTGTCTTTTTATTTGCGTTCACGATTTGAAATCTTCTTCAAATCATTGATCTTCAGGTGAAACAATACACATGCTACTAACACATCTAATGACCCTCCTCCAGTGTTTAACCACCTGGACGTCGACATTTCTTCTTAAACGTATCTCTGCGTGAATGCTTTCAGCTCAGACGTGACGCTGAGTCCGTTTAAAGACGAGTTTTCACGGTTGGCGGCGCCGTGAACCCTGAAAACATCGCTCAGCTCCCACGAGGCGGAAACAACAAAACAAAAACCCATTAAAGTGTCACACAGGCACGACTCGTTATTTAACTCCGAGTTAACGAGTATGAAGCTCACCCCGGTGACGTATCTGGGCCGGAACTGGACGGTGCCGAACAGGCCCAGGATGACCACGATGATGTGCAGGAAGTTGGTCAGGATGGGAGCCCACTGGTAGCCGAGGAAGTCGATCACCTGGCGCTCCAGCACGCTCACCTGAGGGAGGAGAAAAGCGACAGTCAGGTTCCTGCTAAACATTCGACAGCTGAAGATAAAAACCAACAACAGCGACGGAGAACAGCTGGATGTAAGGAAAGCAGACGAGCTGCAGCGACAGAAATCAACCTGGTCAGAGGCAAAGAGTCGCTGCTGCAGCTTCCTGCAAACAACAGAAACATGAGTTCTGCAATAAATTAGTGTAAAAATGCAGATTTTCTAAACAGTTTAAATCTGAGCCTTTTTTGGACCAAAAACAAGAATTCACCAACAAAAATCTGATTTCGGCGGCTCAGAAGGTCACTGCAAAGTTTAACAGATGCCCGAGGACGTTTTTACACTTTTTAAAATATATTTAATAAACTACAACCGTTCCTAAAGCATTGAAACGTGACCAGATTTCTTATCTTTTTAACTGTCTTCGTGCATTTTGAAATGTTAACTCTCTGTTCTGGATCATAAATGTTAAAGTTAAAAGAAAAATGTTGTAATTTACGAGGAATTAATTAGAGTTAATGTCGATTACAGTGGCAACGCCAAATAAATATCTTACATTAGTGGAAAAATATCCAAAATATTGAAGCTAAAATGTGAGTCCGACCTCACAGAAAGAGTTCAGACACACAAATTGATTTCTGCTGAGATGTTGGAAATATTTTAGAAGGTTAAAGGAAAAAAAATCAGTATTTGTTGAAGCTGTGAGAACTCGGAGATCTGAAATGTGCTGATTTATGGAGGAAGCCAGGAGGGAAATATCACAAAAATAAATCCAAAAAATAACAAAAATTAAAAAAAAAAAAAGCAAAAAAACAAACGGCATCAACGAGGGGAAAAAAAAAAAAAAAAGTTTAAAAAAAACAAATAAACAAACAAAAAATTAAAATACATATATAGACATCTAAAATATTTTGGAACAAATATTAAAAATAAAAATAGCAAATAATTTCAAAAAATACAAAATATAGACTTTTTAATATCAAGAAAAAAACAAAAAGTATTAAAAATATATATATTTTTAAGAATAGTAGATAAAAATAGTAGATATTTAAAATTACATTTAAAAAAAAAAAAGTCAAAATAAAGACTTTTGCCGTTTCTTCCACTTCTTTTATCTTTTTCTTTTTCTTTTTTAAATAAAGAACATTCAAGACAACATGAAAATACGTCATCGCGCTCTTCAGTAAAAAAGATTATTAATGATGATTAAAAATATAATTATTGGGGTTAAGACCCTAAAATACAATTTAAAAAATTATAAAATACAGCTTTACTTGACTATAAAACATTAAAACCTTATAAACTTGAGGTCCACATGAGCTTCAGTTTAAATTAGTTCAGTAATTAATCACAACGAAGACTTTTCTGCTGTAATACACAAATATCTGGTTAATCTGTGATTTACAGTCAAGTAAAGTCGTATTTTATATCATTTTATAAGGATTTTAATCCTTAATATGTAAATTATTCATGTAAAATCCACAACATAAACTCCTAATAACAGACATGAGTTGTTTTAAATCACATGTATGGAGTCTGATTTAATGAAACGACGGCTTTATTCTGGATTTTCCTGACAGAGGTGATAAATGTCCTCGTAGAAAACATCACGAGGCCCGAGGGTCCTCATTAGAATCTAAATGATGGTGTGATGGTTCAGATGAGGCCTTCGGGGGGCGACGACGGTCAATAATGAGCTCGATTCCAGTCATTTTACAGAAATATCTGCTATTTTTGAGCTTTTTTTAAAGAAAAAAACCCCAGAAAATGTCACCTTGATGAAGAAAACTGGTTTAAAGAATAAATATTTGTCAGAAACGAGCTTTAATTCTTTCCTCTGTGTCTCTGTGGGTGGAGTGTGATGGAGCTGGAGGGTCTGCAGGAGTTCACATCGTATATCAGGACTCTGTTGTCATCAACTAAACTGTAATCAGCGTGTGTTTGTCGCCGTTCGGTCGCCGCGGCGTCACGCCGAGTTCGTTAATGAAGTCGGCTCGGCTCTGCTAAATATAATAACAGGAGGGTCGAGACGAGACAAAGGAGGGCCTAAAATAAGAAGGTTTCAGCTTTATTTACTACCAGAGCTCCAGGAATTAATCTGTCTGAGTAATTTTCTCATTTAAAAACAGTCGGAGCAGCTTTTGAAACGTGAATATTTTCTGTTTTTTTTTATCTCCTCTGTGACAGAAAACTGAACACGTTTGGTGAATATTTGGCTTTTTTTGGACGTTGTTCTCCATTTTTAGACAAACTGACTGACAATGATGATGAAATAATGAATAAATTGAACATTAATAAACCAAATTCAGTTGTTTTTTCTTTCTCTATGACAGTAAACTGGATCTCTTTGGGTCGAGGACGTCACTTTGAGCTTTTTTGGGTCATTTTTTAAATCATTTTCTGGCACTTTATAAACCAAACAAGTAAGAAAAATCATTTATTTTTGTCAATAGAAGTTTTATTTACACACATTTTGATCGTTTGAAACCAATAAAAGTACATGTATACAGGATATTTATATGTATTTTTCAATAATCAGGTTAGTTATGAAGCACAAACATGGTGATGGATGTAAATTTGTAAAATGTATTTGAGTATTTTTTTTATAAGAAAACAAATTACAAGTTATTTCTAATTGCAGCTTGTTAAATGTGAATATATTTTAGTTTCTTTCCTCCTCTATGACAGTAAACTGAATACTTCTGGACAAAACATGATGTTTGTACGTATTTTTGGACATTTCTTTGTCATTTTTGGACATTTTATGGACCAAAAAACAATCGTTTAATTAAGAAAACAGGAATTCCTTATGACAGAATAATATAAACTAATGCTTAAAGCTCCTTTGTAAAGTCATCTTATTGCACAAATGTCATTTGTTTATTTCTCAGAGGTCAGAAGTGCTGATTGATGAACATTTTTAGTGATAAACTAATAAATTAATCATCCAATTATTTGATTTGAGCAACATTTAAAGAAAAAAAAAGCCCAAATGTTTTGATGGCAGCTTCTTAAATGTGAATATTTAGTTTTAGTTCCTCCTCTGTGACGGTAAAACTGAACATCTCTGAACAAAACAAGACATCTGACGGCTGTTTTGGACATTTTTTTTTTTTACCATTGTCTGATATTTTAAAGACCAAACAGCTCATTAGAGTAAATTTTCAGTCTAGATTCTCTAATTGCAGTTTCCTAAACTTAAACACTTTCTGCTTTCTTTCCTCTGTGACAGCAAACCGAGCAGCTTTAGACAAAACAGGACATCTGAGGGCGTCACTTTGGCCTTTTTCTCGCCACTTTCCTGACGTCTTAAACACCAAACAACAGCTCCGTTAGCGGAGAAACCGATGGGCGGCTCGTCTGCGGCCTCGTTAGACGGCGACACGTCGGACCGGAGGCTCCACGCCGTTATTCTCACTCGGCTCACAGACTTCTGCTGCATGGCTGAGCCGAGAGCGGCGCTAATGTGAGACCATATGGCCACGCTAGCATAGCAGGTACACACACACACACACACAC